CACAGAGGGTGTTCTTTAATGGAAGCCTCTCAAACATAATCCAGGTAGAATCAGGAATTCCCCAGGGCAGCTGTCTAGGCCCCTTGCTTTCTTCCATCTTTACTAACGACATGCCACTGGCTTGGAGTAAAGCCAGTGTGTCTATGTATGCGGATGACTCAACACTATACACGTCAGCTACTACAGCAACTGAAATAACTGCAACACTTAACAAAGAGTTGCAGTTAGTTTTGGAATAGGTGGCAAGTTAGTCCTGAATATTTCCAAAACGAAAAGCATTGCATTTGGGTCAAATCAGTCACAAAACCCTAAACCTCAACTACATCTCGCAATGAATAATGTGGAAATTGAGCAAGTTGAGGAGACTAAACTGCTTGGAGTAACCCTGGATTGACTGTCATGGTCAAAGCATTCTGATACAACAGTAGCTAAAATGGGGAGAAGTATGTCCATAATTAAGCGCTCTCTGCCTTCTTAACAACATTATCAACAAGGCAGGACCTACAGGCCCTAATTTTGTTGCACCTAGACTACTGTTCAGTAGTGTGGTCAGGTGCCACAAAGAGGGACTTGGGAAAATTGCAGTTGTCTCAGAACAGGGCAGCACGGCTGGCCATTAAAAGTACACAGAGAGCTAACATTAATGACATGCATGTCAGTCTCTCCTGGCTCAGAGTGGAAGAGAGATTGACTTCATCACTGCTTGTTTTTGTAAGAGGTGTTGACAAGCTGAATGTACCGACATGCATACCCCACAAGACATGCCACCAGAGGTCTCTTCATAGTCCCCAAGTCCAGAACAGACTATGGGAGGCACACAGTACCACAGAGAGCCATGAAGAATCAGCAGAATCAGATTAAAAAAACAGGTAAATATACACCTTATGGAACAACGGGGACAGTGAAGAGACACACACTAGGGTATAGACACATGCATACGCACACATTGTGATATTGTTGTATGGTGGTATTAAACATTTTCTATTGTAGATAGGTAGTGGTGTAATAATGTCATATTTTGTTTTATATGTAATTGAAGTGCTTTAATATGTTTGGATCCCAGGAAGAATGGGGATCCCTAATAAATACAAATACAAATACAAATTGCATTTCGGTTTTCGTGTGTGGTGCACTTTCATTCAGTAGCATCTATGAATCACATGATGATGCATAGTATTGACGTAAAACAAAAGAACTAAGGATACTGATGTGAGATTCTCTCTGGTGTTTACAGAACAACTGGTGCTGTGAGATTAGGATATCAGGATTCAAGGATGCTGTGAGATTAGGATATCAGGACAAAGCAATTGTAACAGTAGAGCAAAGGATCGCAATACATGAGAAAATTAATGGCTGCAGTATTGCTGTTATAATGAGTACATGATGCATGGAATGCTAAAGCATACATTTATGAAAGTGTGTATTCTTATTTGAAATTTATGTAGTTCTATACTTGTCATTGGCGTCAGCTAATGGGGATCCTAATAAATACAAATCTAATAAAAGGTTACCAACCAGCCACTGACTAAGCACATGCCTGCAATTCTTACACTGTAGCGCAGCAGGAGAGAGTGGTTTCATCACTATAGCATATTCAGAGATCGATTTATAGCCATTAATCTAAAATAATTAATAGATTTTAAACAAAAATAACACTTTCTGTTTGTCATAGATGGACAAGATTAATATGAGATGAAAGGCGAGTTCGTAATTAGTTCAGGAAGCCAAGCTAGAGCTGCCTGACATTCACTGCGGTGGGGGCAGATGTTTTGATCAAGAGAGACCTTTAGAAACAGTGCACATTTTCTTTAACACTAAACATACAAATATGTATTTTAAAGTTATAAGGAAGGTGAAATCGTATAGTTAGCGGTTTTATAATGTTATTATACTATATTTAGAAAGCATATACACTATCAGTCAAATGTTTGGACACACCTACTCATTCAAGGGTTTTTCTTTATTTTTACTATTTTTTACATTGTAGAATAATAGTGAAGACATCAAAACTATGAAATAACACATATGGAATCATGTAGTAACCCCAAAAAAGTGTTAAACAAATCAAAATATATGTTATATTTGAGATTCTTCAAATAGCCACCCTTTGCCTTGATGACAGCTTTGCACACGCTTGGCATTCTCTCAACCAGCTTCATGATGTAGTCACCTGGAATGCATTTCAATTAACAGGTGTGCCTTGTTAAAAGCTAATTTGTGAAATGTCTTTCCTTCTTAATGCGTTTCAGCAAATCAGTTGTGTTGTGACAAGGTAGGGGGAGTATACAGAAGATAGCCCTATTTGGTAAAAGACCAAGTCCATATTATGGAAAGAACAGCTCAAATAAGCAAAGAGAAACAGCAGTCCATCATTACTTTACGACATGAAGGTCACTCAATACGGAACATTTCAAGAACTTTTAAAGTTTCTTCAAGTGCAGTCGCAAAAACCATCAAGCGTTATGATGAAACTGGCCCACCACAGGAATGAAAGACCCAGAGTTACCTCTGCTGCAGAGTTACATTAGAGTTACCAGCCTAAGAAATTGCAGCCCAAATAAATGCTTCAAAGAGTTCAAGTCACAGACACCTCTCAACATCAACTGTTCAGAGGGGACTGTGTGAATCAGGCCTTCATGGTCAAATTGCTGCAAAGAAACCACTACTAAAGGACACCAATAGCTCAGTTGGTAGAGCATGGCTTGCAACGCCAGGGTTGTGGGTTTGTTTCCCACGGGGGGCCAGTATGAAATTGTATGCGCTCACTAACTGTAAGTCGCTCTGGATAAGAGCGTCTGCTAAATGACTAAAATGTAAAAAATGCAATAAGAATAAGAGACCTGCTTGGGCCAAGAAACACGAGCAATGGACATTAGACAAGTGGAAATGTGTGCTTTGGTCTGGAGTCTAAATTTGAGATTTTTGGTTCCAACTGCCGTGTCTTTGTGAAACGCGGTGTGGGTGAACGGATGATCTCCGTTCTCCAATGGAGTTCCCACTGTAAAGCATGGAGGAAGAGTAGTTATGGTGTGGGGGTGCTTTGATGGTGACACTGTCTGTGATTTATTTAGAATTCACTTAACCAGCATGGCTACCACAGCATTCTGCAGCAATACGCCATCCCATCTGGTTTGGGCTTAGTGGGACAATCATTTGTTTTTCAACAGGACAATGACCGTGCTTCTACATCTGCATTTCTTGCTGTTTGGGGTTTTAGGCTGGGTTTCTGTATAGCACTTTGTGACATCTGCTGATGTAAAAAGGGCTTTATAAATAAATATGATTGATTGATTGATTGACCCAACACATCTCCAGGCTGTGTTAAGGGCTATTTTAAGAAGGAGTGCTGCATCAGATGACCTGGCCTCCACAATCCCCCGACCTTCAACCCAATTGAGATGGTTTGGGATGAGTCGGACGGCAGAGTGAAGGAAAAGCAGCCAACAAGTGCTAAGCATATGTGGGAAGTCCTTCAAGGCTGTTGGAAAAGCATTCCAGGTGAAGCTGGTTGAGAGAATGACAAGAGTGTGCAAGCTGTCATCAAGGCAAAGGGTGGCTATTTGAGGAATCTCAAATATAAAATATATTTTGATTTGTTTATCACCTTTTTGGTTACTACTTGATTCCATATGTGTTATTTCATAGTTTTGATGTCTTCACTATTATTCTACAATGTAGAAAATAGTAAAAATAAAGATAACCCTTGAATGAGTAGGTGTGTCCAACCTTTGACTGGTATTGTAAGTCATTTCAAGCCTTATTCATAGTTTTGTTGAATAGGAAATACCTCATAGAAAATATTTCACATTTTCATATTTATATCATATTTATACTGTGTCCTCAAAAGTGACTACACCTCAGCAATTTATAACTATTTTAACCGGAAAGGTGAGATTTTAACCTTTCTTGGAGTATGTAGCATTACTTGTTTATGGTCCTCTCATGATAAATAATTACATTCTGGGATTACGTAGATTACATTTAAGAGGTTTTAAGGTCAATCCCTGCTACAACTAGGTTACGAAGTTTTACCTGGTTACCATCAAGAAAAATTTGCCCACACTTTTCTGGGACCTGTGGTGCCACCTCTGCTCAAAAATATAAATACCTACATTATTTACCCTCCAGTCAATGTCTCCACACCAAGTTGAGTTGATAACCCATAGCATTCAAAGCTAGAGTCAAAAGTCTAATATGGCACCGGCGCCCATATCGGGGCTTAGTTCGTACCAGTACGTCAGATTAACTCAATCGCCAATTTCTCAGCCTCTCAGTATCAGAGAAACACAAGACTTTGAATGAATAACAGACAAAGGTTCATGAAAAGTTGTTGTGGATGAAATTGATCAAAATAACTTCAGACATTAAAAACATCCATCACATTTGACTATAAAGGTGTGAAAATGTTAACATATGTGTTGCAAAAGGTTAATAAAATACAAATGTGTTACTGCTTGACAGACAGTGTCTCTTTGCAATCATTACCAATTTGGAGTTGGCACTTTTAAGTATATAAATATGTTGCCACTTTTAAGGCTCGGACACACCAATAGCTTTTGCCAGCCGATAGTACTTAGCACTTCTGAACAGAGTGCCGGATGTAATTTGCAAACTGAGTGCAAACCGATTCTTCATGTAGAATCGCACAAAAATGTTGGCAGCCAGACATCCATCAGCAGGTGGTCCCTAAAACACACGACGCCGAACAAGCGGCAGACGAACAGAAGATCGACAATCGGTGTGGTGTGTGTGGTCCTTTAGGGTTAACTGTTATTTCCTGTGTAATTAACTTATTTTCTGTGTATTCATGTTATTAACTATTAATACCTGTTTTATTAACTGTTATTACCTTTGTTTTTACATGTTATTACTTGTGTTATCACCTGTTATTACCTGTTATTGCCTGTGTAATTGACCTATTGTATATGTCAATATGTATATAACTGTAAGTGCTATGACCCGTGTTACTAACTGTTATTACCCATGTTACTGTTATTACCTGTGTTCCAGGCGTTTCTGCAGCTGGCCCATGGCACCTCGGCACTGAAGGAGGAGAACAAGTAGAAGAAGGCCCAGGCCTGGATGATGATGTATGACACTGCAGCATACGCAATGACCACCTGGGTGGCATAACCAATCCCTGGGGACAAACAAAACAATTGTAAGTGCACTTAAATGTAAATATGCACAGTTTCCTGTTTGCAGGTTTTGTGTTTTCCACCCAGATAAGGTTGGCTTGGAGGGATTTTTTGGGGGGGCTAAGGTTGGCTGTTTTGAGTAAATTCATAATGGATAAGCTGAAACAAGCTAAATATGTCTTTCCTGTACTATTTCATCCTGTGATCATTTTGTAATATAAAGTATTATATAGGGTAAGAAATTGTAAACATTTATTTAAAAAATGCTAATTCACATATGGATTAGTGTACTATTGCCTTGAGAGCATTCTGACTACATATTCAAATAGCCACGTCAGAATTGAGCAACATTTTCATGAGTAGATCACCTCCAAAATGTATGGAACCCTTGATAAATATTAGCAAAAATAAATAAATAATACAAATACGGACCTACAGTATATTGTAGGCAATAAATGTTTTTAATTTATATTATTTTATAATAATACAATTGCAGAGAAACAGATTTTGTTTAACAAGTAATAAACCATATTTAAAAAAAATCAAGGTTTCAAAATTATTGGCACCCCTGTTTTCGATACTCTGGTACACTCCCCTTGCAAGGATAATGAGACTGAGCTTTTTTCTAAAATATTTTATGAGATTGGAGAACACACGCTTAAGGACTGCCCTCTTCCAGTCAAACCACAGGTTTTCGATGGGGTTCAAGTCCGGAGACTGAGATGGTCAATGCAAAATGTTGATTTTGTTGTCAATTAACCCTTTCTTTCTGGATTTTGATTTGTGCTGGGGTTATTGTCTTGCTGTAAAATCCACTTGCAGCCAAGTTTCAGCCTCCTGGCAGAGGCAACCTCCTGGCAGAGGCAACCAGGTTTTGGGCTAAAATGTCCTGGTACTTGGTGGAGTTCTTAATGCTGTTCACCTTAACAAGGGCCCCAGGAACAGTGGAAGCAAAACAGCCCCATAAGATCAAAGATCCACCACCATATTTTACAGTAGGTATGAGGTTGTTTTTTCTATATGCATCCTTCTTTCGACACCAAACCCACCACTGGTGTGCGTGGCCAAGGAGCTCTATTTTCATGTCATCTGAACATAACACCAGTTGCAATCCAAATACCAATGCCGTTTAGCAAATTACAGCAGTTTACCTTTGTTGGTTGCTTTCAATAAAGGCTTTTTTTGGCAACCCTTCCAAAGAGCCCATTGGCATGGAGGGGGCGTTTAATTGTAGATTTGGTAGCAAGGCCAGTTTTATTGCTTCTTTAATCAGCACAACAGTTTTCAGCTGTGCTAACATAATTGCAAAAGGGTTTTCTAATGATCAATTAGCCTTTTAAAATGATAAACTTGGATTAGCAAACACAACGTGCCATTGGAACACAGGACTGATGGTTGCTGATAATGGGCCTCTGTACGCCTATGTAGATATTCCATAAAAAATCAGCCGTTTCCAGTTACGATAGCCATTTACAACATTAACAATGTCTACACTGTATTTCTGATCAATTTGATGTTTTTTTAATGGACAAAAAATTAGCTTTTCTTTCGAAAACAAGGAAATTTCTAAGTGACCCCAAACTTTTGAACAGTAGTGTATATATATATACACTGCTCAAAAAAATAAAGGGAACACTAAAATAACACATCCTAGATCTGAATGAATGAAATAATCTTATTAAATACTTTTTTCTTTACATAGTTGAATGTGCTGACAACAAAATCACACAAAAATTATCAATGGAAATCAAATTTATCAACCCATGGAGGTCTGGATTTGGAGTCACCCTCAAAATTAAATGTAATGTCCTTAAAACAAGTCAAAATGAGGCTCAGTAGTGTGTGTGGCCTCCACGTGCCTGTATGACCTCCCTACAATGCCTGGGCATGCGCCTGATGAGGTGGCGGATGGTCTCCTGAGGGATCTCCTCCCAGACCTGGACTAAAGCATCCGCCAACTCCTGGACAGTCTGTGGTGCAACGTGGCGTTGGTGGATGGAGCGAGACATGATGTCCCAGATGTGCTCAATTGGATTCAGGTCTGGGGAACGGGCGGGCCAGTCCATAGCATCAATGCTTTCCTCTTGCAGGAACTGCTGACACACTCCAGCCACATGAGGTCTAGCATTGTCTTGCATTAGGAGGAACCCAGGGCCAACCGCACCAGCATATGGTCTCACAAGGGGTCTGAGGATCTCATCTCGGTACCTAATGGTAGTCAGGCTACCTCTGGCGAGCACATGGAGGGCTGTGCGGCCCCCCAAAGAAATGCCACCCACACCATGACTGACCCACCGCCAAACCGGTTATGCTGGAGGATGTTGCAGGCAGCAGAAAGTTCTCCATGGCGTCTCCAGACTCTGTCACGTCTGTCACATGTGCTCAGTGTGAACCTGCTTTCATCTGTGAAGAGCACAGGGCGCCAGTGGCGTATTTGCCAATCTTGGTGTTCTCTGGCAAATGCCAAACGTCCTGCACGGTGTTGGGCTGTAAGCACAACCCCCACCTGTGGACGTCGGGCCCTCATACCACCCTCATGGAGTCTGTTTCTGACCGTTTGAGCAGACACATGCACATTTGTGGCCTGCTGGAGGTCATTTTGCAGGGCTCTGGCAGTGCTCCTCCTGCTCCTCCTTGCACAAAGGCGGAGGTAGCAGTCCTGCTGCTGGGTTGTTGCCCTCCTACGGCCTCCTCCACGTCTCCTGATGTACTGGCCTGTCTCCTGGTAGCGCCTCCATGCTCTGGACACTACGCTGACAGACACAGCAAACCTTCTTGCCACAGCTCGCATTGATGTGCCATCCTGGATGAGCTGCACTACCTGAGCCACTTGTGTGGGTTGTAGACTCCGTCTCATGCTACCACTAGAGTGAAAGCACCGCCAGCATTCAAAAGTGACCAAAACATCAGCCAGGAAGCATAGGAACTGAGAAGTGGTCTGTGTTGTCACCACCTGCAAAACCAGTCCTTTATTGTGGGTGTCTTGCTAATTGCCTATAATTTCCACCTGTTGTCTATTCCATTTGCACAACAGCATGTGACATTTATTGTCAATCAGTGTTGCTTCCTAAGTGGACAGTTTGATTTCACAGAAGTGTGATTGACTTGGAGTTACATTGTGTTGTTTAAGTGTTCCCTTAATTTTTTTTAGCAGTGTATATATATACATATATATATATATATATATATATATATATATATATATATATATATATATATATTGCCTGATATATGAAGGTCAACAACAATTTGCCTCTTCGTTTGTGAGTTCTTTGACTTTTCCCATCACAAAGGGATTTAACATGCATTTTACCTCATTTTTATACCTTAGTGAAACAGGCAGCCATGGAAGGACACAATACAGTTCCTTACGATGAGATTCATTGAGCAGATTTTATTTTGTTTGATTTTATTTCTAATAATATTTAGAGGTGCCAATAAGTTTGACACCCATCTTTTTGAGATAAAAAAATATTACTTGTTAAAAAATAATATATTTCTCTGAGCAACTGTATTAGCATAAAATAATGTTTCCCATTTATTTAGCATACAATATAGAGCAGTATTTGTATTATATATTATACAGTATTTTCTGCTCATCTCTATTAAGGGTGCCAATCATTATGGAGGTGACTCTATATATACTGTGGAATATTTCCTCTTGGGCTCACCCGCTATTTACAAAACAAAACCCATCAGCACAGTACAGTGCATACTGTACTAAGAGGGTCCCTAAAATGAAATGTTCTTGCAGCTATAAAGATCTTATCATTCTCTCTCACGCTCTCTCTCACACTCACACACACACACACAAGCACACACACTGGGATTCTATATGTAATTCTATGCTTGCAGTAGTAACCTTCAAAGAGAGGGCAGAAGTGTCTCCAGCAGGTGATGCAGCCCTGCGAGGTGTACTGTCCCATGGCTGTCTCCAGGAGGAACATGGGGATCCCACAGGAGAGCAGGAACAGAACATATGGAATCAGGAATGCACCTGTGAGGACGGTTACAAAGTGTTGTTATGCCTAACTTGATCCACATGCAGAGCGGAGGACGCCCTACATAGCTACTTCATAAAATGTTAATCACATGGCCTAGACCAGCAGTTCCCAAACTGTTGGGCCTAGGGGGCGCAAGTTTATTTTTTATTTTTTAGGAACTCAGTCTGGCTTTCAACTTACTCCGGAAAGTTTTGATAGTAGAATGCACGAGGCGGAATTTTTTAACTGAGTAGTGCAACAGCAGTTTTCCTCTTGTCATGTCAGTCATTGCAGACCTTAGAGAGCTATTTATAACTCTAATGTCTAGATCAACTAGCCCATGTCTGCTAACGTTTTTTAGCTAGGTTTCTTTAGCCCATTGACTTTCTTGTAATGTTTGAGTCACTCAAATATCACATGAACACATATAAGACATGGCAAAATGTGTACAATTGCAGGAAATTAGCTATAATAAACTCTGTCCACCTCTGGAGGCATTCTCTAAATGACACATACTATTGTATACTACCCTCATAAAGTACATTACGGTTTCAAAACTATAGGTCCTACAAACACATGCTTACTACAGTTAGAAAGGTAAGAATGGTAGGATTCAGATAAAGGTGTCAGCAACAATGTGACTACTACAGAGGCCGAGATTGGGTTCCCCCAAATTGCCCCCCATGTTGGGGAATAAGAGATTTGAACGTCTAGTTTTGAGATAAAATAGGTCAACAATTACTGTTCCATAAGGAATGCCAAGCTGAAGTCTATACCTATCCATTGATGTAAATATATCCTCTGTCTGATTCCCAGCTCATCCACTAAACAGCAGTAGGAGATCACATGCTCTTGGCCACTTGAAACCAGTTGTGTCTGGTTTGGGTAGTGAATTACAGTGCCAAAATGGATGAACGGATTTTCAAGCCTGACATCTTAAAAGGACCTTAGCAATCAGGGCTTTCAAGTTATGGAGTTTTTTCCCCATTCACTTTTCCTATTGTAAATGATGAGCTAGCTAAACGGCGCATGTGGAGGATGCATACAAGGTCATTTGGATAGAGAAGGAAATGTATTGCTTTACAATGACCATCAGGGTGTACTCCCTCCATCCATACTAAATGTTTGCTTTTGGTGACTTGACTTATTACTGAACAAAAACATAAACACAACATTTTATGTGTTGGTCCCATGTTTCATGAGCTGAAATAAAAGATCCCAGAAATGTTCTATACGCACAAAAAGCTTATTTCTCTCAAATTCTGTACACAAATTTGTTTACATCCCTGTTAGTGACCATTTCTTCTTTGCCAAGATAATCCATCCACAGGACAAGTGTGGCATATCAAGAAGCTGATTAAACAGCATGATCATTCCACAGGGGCACCTTGTGCTGGAGACTCTAAAACATGCAGTTTTGTCACACAACACAATGCCACAGATGTCTCAAATTTTGAGGGAGCGTGCGATTGGCATGCTGACTGGGGGGATGTCCACCAGCGCTGTTGCCAGATAATTTAATGTTAACGTCGTCTTAGAGAATTTGGCAGTACATCCAACCGGCTTCACAACCGCAGACCACGTGTAACCACGCCAGCCCAGGACCTCCACATCCGGTTTCTTCACCTGCGGAATTGTCTGAGACCAGCCATCATTAGGAGTATTTCTGTCTGTAATAAAGCCCTTTTGTTGGGAAAAACTCATTTTGATTGGCTGGGCCTGGCTCCAAAGTGGGTGGGCCTATGTCCTCCCAGGCCCACCCATGGCTGCGCCCCTGCCCAGTCATTTGAAATCCATAGATGTGTGCCTAATGAATTTATTTCAATTGACTGATTTCCTTATATGAATTGTAATTCAGTAAAATCATTGAAATTGTTGCATGTTGCATTTATATTTTTGTTCATACTCTATGAATATGTCCATAGCGCATTATTTATGGCCTTTATGGGGGGCGGTCGGGGGGAGATTCTTGTGACATTGCCTTCAGTAAGATTTGAGTTCGGCCTGTAGCTTTCAAATTATATGTCAGTTTCTATTTTCTGATTATTCTTTTTGGAGGGGGAGCCCAAAACAGTTTAACAGGTTAGAACTACAACATTTTCTTTGCAGCCCATGACAAATGTGTAGAATTGCAGGAAATTAGCTTTAAAATGGTAAAAGCAAGACTCCATCCCATGGCAAAATGTATAGAATTGCAGGAAATAAACTTTAAACCTACAAAATGTTCTCTCCGCCAACAAGAGGGGTGTGAACAGTTTGTGTCATAAACAGTGCCATAGAAATGGACGTGGGGGGTGCGGGATGTTCCTCAATGCTGGAAGGGGGGCCTGAGTGAAAAAGTTTGGGAACCTCTGGCCTAGACTGATAACATTGTAGGAGCACTGAGGTACAAATGCTGTCAGTTTGAAGACTATTACTGTAATTGGGAGCCAAAACACATAAATCAGTCATAGATACTACGGGGCAGCAGGTAGCCTAGCGGTTAGAGATGCGAGCCAGCAATCGGAGGATTGCCAGTTCGGGTCTAATGGGAATGATCTGGTGGGAAGTGAGCTGACAACCGGAGGGTTTGTGGTATCAAATTCTCGATGCCATTGCCTGCTGTTGTGCCCTTGAGCAAGGCACTTAACCCCCCACAACTTTCAGAGGGGTTGGGTTAAAAGCTTAAGTTAGGTTGGACCTTGTGTGCAATTGAGCAATAAAGTGATCTTAATACTTGCTTCCCCTTTTACTGTTCACACCCCACACCTTTTTAATGCATTCAATGTAGGTATCTGTATCAAACGTTTCCCATCAAACCATACCAGAGGAGATTAAATGTTGATTACATTTCACAAGCTATATTTCACAAGCTCAGGTCTTTAACACAAGGTACCCGTAACCTACAATTTGAAATCGAATTAACATAATACTAAAATCCCCATTAAAATCAGTCTGTTTAAGCTAGAGATATGTTTTTTTGCATGGGCTGCGTCTCAATCCATCGCAGCCGCCGATATCGCCTTTCCGCATCTGCGGTGAAAGGTGGCAGAGCTAGAACGGTGTTTGTCAGACCATGAGACATCCCAAAAATTTGTATTTTCACAAAAACGTTGAAAGATGAGACTCTCGCGAACATCATGGCATTCTCCGTTTTGCTCTAGGATGCCCACAAGCCTCACAAGACTCGTCTGAAGGTCCCCGGTACCAGTTTAAAAAATGAATGGAAGTATATATGGAGATATTGTAGTTTAGTGCCTAAAATAATGAGATAAATGCATGTAAAAAATAAATAAATAATAATAATAGTTTCCTGATATTTCTTATATCTCTCAGATATAGGACAGACACTTCAGAACAAACTTCCTTTAGATTTTTTTGGGACTATCTGTTGTTCCATGTATTGAATCTGTTATTCAATGCATTTCTACTGGCTAATAGCAGTAATGCCAAATTCAATGTTTTATCCAATAATTTTTGTATATATTTTTTTGAAACATTAAGGGGTTTTAAAATTCCAAATCAAATAGCTAAATGATCCTTGGTATGACCATCTTAAATCAATTCCATATGTTAGATTAAAACACCCCTCCCCCGGCTTAGACAGGGCTTAGACACTATAGGGTTAAAGGGTTGTAAAGGGTTTCCAAGTAGTTTAAAGACATTTAACCATTAGTTAGTTAATTTGTAGTTTATAAACAGTTATAACTCTCTTAAAAGGTACCTTAATGTACCTAAAGTGTCACCCACTTTACACCCACTACGATCATAACGAAACCTTTGGGGAAAGACAGCACAGTACCTTACAACCATATCAAGTCAAATATTAATTATGATAACATAAATAAGAAGAATAGCAAGGTTATTCTTTCCCACTGTGTTGACATGGCAATCAAGTACATTTAGTACATGACCCTAGTGTAAATGCAGTAGCAGTGTACAAAGGCTGTGATAAAGTGTGCAGGTGTCTCGAGTGTGCGGTAGCGCCCCTTACCTCCTCCATTTTTGTAACACAGATATGGGAACCTCCACAAGTTCCCCAGCCCCACCAAGGTGCCTGCCACGGCCAAGAGGAACTCTAGCTTGTTGGCCCACTGGCCCCGGTCTAGCAGCAACTGGCTCTTCTTCATCACCAGACTGATGTCCTGGGCAGGCAGGTTATGACTGTGATCCTTTGGGAAATTCCTAGTCATGGTCACCAGCACACAGCAGTCTTCGCATTAATAAAATTATACTGAAACCTTGTTTATTTAGGTGTTTGTTAAAAATCATCAAGACAAGCACCACATTTGATAAATGTTCTCATTGCTTAATTTCCAATGAAATAGCCTATCACTCAATATGTACGTTCTGAACCTTGTGAACCACAAGTATGTAACAGCCTAAAACGACTCAGCTGATCCTTCCTTGGCACCAGTAATAAGCTTCATTTATTTACCCATGTAGGATTACCAACAGTGGACATTTTTCTCACTTTCAGCACAATTACCTGACAATACTAAACCATTTGGATACCGTAGAGTGAAGTATGCAGAACAGACATAATGAAGCACTTACCCCTCCATTACCATGGTCTCTCCCCCCATCCTCCTAGGGGTCTGGGTCTGTGCTGTAACGACAGACTGATCAGTATTCCCCTCAGACAGCATGCTCCTCGGCTGCTGCATACCCAGAACAAAGCAGAGATGTCATGAGTAGCCTAGACCAACAATCACAAGAAACTAGTCAAACAATTCATTCTTAAATTCCTTGGGATTAGGTTGTTGTTGTCCAGTAACTACCCTCCACATCTTTCATCATAATCTTACATTTACATTTTACATTTTAGTCATTTAGCAGACGCTCTTATCCAGAGCGACTTACAGTTAGTGAGTGCATACATTTTCATACTGGCCCCCCGTGGGAAACGAACCCACAACCCTGCCATTGCAAGCGCCATGCTCTACCAACTGAGCTACAGGGGACTAGAAGATAGCCCTTCATACATTGCCTAGAGAATAGGGTGATGGAGGAGGCTGAATACAGTATAGCTCAAATAAACTGATAGCCAGTCAGGCCTGCTTGTATGAGCTTGTTATTATGGTAAGAGCTGCTACAGAGCAGAACAACACAGAATAACTTCCTTGGAGTACTTTTCCACTGGGGTCATTGAGATTGGCAAAGTTGCTAACAACTAAAGCAGATAAGCTGAGCTGTCTCTGGTATGTCAGAGCTGGTCATTAGACTTTGGTTATTTGGTAATCGGGAAATGCTGATCATGGACAACTTGTTATGTTGTTATTTAAACATATTTAGAAAACAATCCCTTCTCTCCTTATCTTTGCAAAACAAGAAATCTCTCTGTGTTTTATTAACCATTTATGGGGTGAATGTCTGAGATGTACAGTATACAATACAAAAAGTATATTTTTAAATAAATAAATTACTGTTAGTGTCCAGGTACAATTTTTTCAAGCAGTACTTCTAAGTTGCCCAAAATCTTTTGAAATGTCATTTATTCAGAGAATATTAAGGTGCAGGTGTAAACTTTTGACTAGGTTACTGAGTTGGCCTGCTTACGTATCCACCATAGTTCCTGGAACCGTGCTGAAAATAACAATGTGAAAATAAAATACATGTATGTTTACCAGCTTGTGTCATTAACATTTAAACCAATGGTTTGGAAACAAACTGGTTGGGCTTCTCAGATGCTACCCTACCCTGGGATTAACACTGCAGAGAACTATTAAAGCTAAACATTACATATCATATGTAATGTACAGTACCAGTCAAAAGTTTGGACACACCTACTCATTCAAGGGTTTTTCTTTATTTTTACTATTTTTGTGTTAAACAAATCAAAATATATTTTGTATTTGAGATTCTTCAAATAGCCACCCTTTGCCTTGGTGACAGCTTTGCACACTCTTGGCATTCACTCAACCAGATTCACCTGGAATGCTTTTCCAACAGTCTTGAAGGAGTTCCCACATATGCTGATCACTTGTTGGCTGCTTTTCCTTCACTCTGCCGTCTGACTCATCCCAAACCATCTCAATTGGGTTGAGGTCGGGGGATTGTGGAGGCCAGGTCATCTGATGCAGCACTCCATCACTCACCTTCTTGGTAAAATAGCCCTTACACTGCCTGGAGGTGTGTTGGGTCATTGTCCTGTTGGAAAACAAATTATAGTCCCACTAAGCCCAAACCAGATGGGATGGCGTATCGCTGCAGAATGCTATGGTAGCCATGCTGGTTAAGTGTGCCATGAATTCTAAATAAATCACAGACAGTGTCACCAGCAAAGCTCCCCCACACCATATCACCTCCTCCTCCATGCTTTACAGTGGGTACTACACATGCAGAGATCATCCGTTCACCCACACCGCGTTTCACAAAAGCACGGCGGTTTGAACCAGAAATCTCCAATTTGGATCTCCAACACTTGCTCGTGTTTCTTGGCACAAGCAGGTCTCTTCTTCTTATTGGTGTCCTTTAGTAGTAGTTTCTTTGCAGCAATTTGACCATGAAGGCCTGATTCACACAGTCCCCTCTGAACAGTTGATGTTGAGATGTGTCTGCTACTTGATCTCTGTGAAGCATTTATTTGGGCTGCAATTTCTGAGGCTGGTAACTCTAATGAACTTATCCTCTGCAGCAGAGGTAACTCTGGGTCTTCCATTCCTGTGGCGGTCCTCATGAGAGCCAGTTTCATCATAGCGCTTGATGGTTTTTGCGACTGCACTTGAAGAAACTTTCAAAGTTCGTTTCTCTTTGCTTATTTGAGCTGTTCTTGCCATAATATGGACTTGGTATTTCACCAAATAGGGCTATCTTCTGTATACCCCCACTACCTTGTCACAACACAACTGATTGGCTCAAACGCATTAAGAAGGAAATAAATTCCACTAATTAATTTTTAAGAAGGCACACCTGTTAATTGAAATGCATTCCAGGTGACTACCTCATGAAGCTGGTTGAGAGAATGCCAAGCGTGTGCAAGCTGTCATCAAGGAAAAGGGTGGCTATTTGAAGAATCTCAAATATAAAATATATTTTGATTTATTTAACACTTTTTTGGTTACTACATGATTCCATATGTGTTATTTCATAGTTGTGATGTCTTCACTATTATTCTACCATGTAAAAAATTGTTTAAAAAAATAATAAGAAAGAAAAACCCTTGAATGAGTAGGCTGGTAGGAACATAAAGCGCGCAGCATTTAAACAACATTTCGTTGTATTAAATAATGAAAGTCTATAAATTGGCATATAGGCTGTGACTTACTTAGAATTAAATACAAATTAAACGAAAAATGACTTATTAGTGCATTTGAATTATTTTTTAGAATTAATTTTTTGAAACACGAGTTTGGCCAGTCTGTGGCTTCAAGCTCATGCGATGGTGCCCTGGAGAGCCGGCCAGCAGCGGATAATATCCTCTCCACACTTGCAGAGCCACTGGGGATGCTAAACACCCCTTTGGCCACTCTTGTCAGGCTGGGCAGAGATGTAGAGTTGTTTATTTTCATTTTTCTATAGGTAGGCCTAAATGTTTTCAGGCAAAATAACACAATCAAAGCGGAAAGCTCCTTGAACGTGGGAATATGCCAGGCCTATTGGGCCAAAAACAATTATGGCCTTTTGTATAGATAATAGAAGGAAAACGAACGAAACGTTTAAGAGATCTGATTTTTTTTATACTTTGCTACAATGACACACTTAGTTACAGTGGGGGGAAAAAGTATTTAGTCAGCCACCAATTGTGCAAGTTCTCCCACTTAAAAAGATGAGAGAGGCCTGTAATTTTCATCATAGGTACACGTCAACTATGACAGACAAATTGAGGAAAAGAAATCCAGAAAATCACATTGTAGGATTTTTTATGAATTTATTTGCAAATTATGGTGGAAAATAAGTATTTGGTCACCTACAAACAAGCAAGATTTCTGGCTCTCACAGACCTGTAACTTCTACTTTAAGAGGCTCCTCTGTCCTCCACTCGTTACCTGTATTAATGGCACCCGTTTGAACTTGTTATCAGTATAAAAGACACCTGTCCACAACCTCAAACAGTCACACTCCAAACTCCACTATGGCCAAGACCAAAGAGCTGTCAAAGGAAACCAGAAACAAAATTGTAGACCTGCACCAGGCTGGGAAGACTGAATCTGCAATAGGTAAGCAGCTTGGTTTGAAGAAATCAACTGTGGGAGCAATTATTAGGAAATGGAAGACATACAAGACCACTGATAATCTCCCTCGATCTGGGGCTCCACGCAAGATCTCACCCTGTGGGGTCAAAATGATCACAAGAACGGTGAGCAAAAATCCCAGAACCACACGAGGGGACCTAGTGAATGACCTGCAGAGAGCTGGGACCAAAGTAGCAAAGCCTACCATCAGTAACACACTACGCCGCCGGGGACTCAAATCCTGCAGTGCGAGACGTGTCCCCCTGCTTAAACCAGTACATGTCCAGGCCCGTCTGAAGTTTGCTAGAGTGCATTTGGATGATCCAGAAGAGGATTGGGAGAATGTCATATGGTCAGATGAAACCAAAATATAACTTTTTGGTATAAACTCAACTCGTCGTGTTTGGAGGACAAAGAATGCTGAGTTGCATCCAAAGAACACCATACCTACTGTGAAGCACGGGGGTGGAAACATCATGCTTTGGGGCTGTTTTTCTGCAAAGGGACCAGGACAACTGATCCATGTAAAGGAAAGAATGAATGGGGCCATGTATCGTGAGATTTTGAGTGAAAACCTCCTTCCATCAGCAAGGGCATTGAAGATGAAACGTGGCTGGGTCTTTCAGCATGACAATGATCCCAAACACACCGCCCGGGCAACGAAGGAGTGGCTTCGTAAGAAGCATTTCAAGATCCTGGAGTGGCCTAGCCAGTCTCCAGATCTCAACCCCATAGAGGAGAGGAGATCTGCATGGAGGAATGGGCCAAAATACCAGCAACAGTGTGTGAAAACCTTGTGAAGACTTACAGAAAACGTTTGACCTGTGTCATTGCCAACAAAGGGTATATAACAAAGTAATGAGAAACTTTTGTTATTGACCAAATACTTATTTTCCACCATAATTTGCAAATAAATTCATAAAAAATCCTACAATGTGATTTTCTTGATTTTTTTTTCTCATTTTGTCTGTCATAGTTGACGTGTACCTATGATGAAAATTACAGGCCTCTCTCATCTT